GTAGTCCGTCACACTTTAGCCCTCAAATGCAAGTGTAGTCCGTCTCACTTGCCTTAGCAACAGCTTGTTGCCATTGACAACACCTCCGCATTGTCTTGCATGTTGATTTTCCCCGGCACATAGGCCAATGGCAAGGCCATCATGCCAAAATCCTCGCCACTGCCGTGCCGCTTGCCGATCAGCTTTGTCAGGGGTCTAACACTAGTAGCATTCCCCATCTTTTATCACGTGCATGTTCTATATACTACTTTTGAAAGCATGGCCTACCAATTTATAATGCAACTGGTTTCGAATTTCTTCGTTTTCAAAGGAAAGCAGAACTTGTTGTCTGCTTTCGTTTCTTTCTTTCTTCACACCTCCAATTAGTCTTCTCAATCCAACAGGAACAATCAAATGGATAAATTGGCCGACTTGAAGCACCTGTTTGTGACAGTGTTTCTAGCAAATTTTGCGCTGAATGTGATCCCTCCTGCTATAACTGATATCACCGTTGGCGCACTCTGCCCTGCTCAAGACGAATGCTCTCTTGCCATTTATCTTTCCGGTTTCCAGCAGGCTGTCTGTACCACTACCTCTATCTTTTCTCCTCCATTCGTTTTACACAATTATACTGCCGCAAAAATCAATTCTAGAACCTATTCGCTTATTTAGTCATTTCGACAAACACTAGGCATGCATTGTCTGATTAGAGTGATTCTACTGATTTCAGATCTTAGGACTGGGATCAATGCTGATGTTGCCATTGCTGGGACATTTATCAGATATATATGGAAGGAAAGCGTTGCTCACAGTCCCGGTGGCTGCCGCCATTGTTCCGTCAGGTAATTAATGATTGTCTTCGGGTCACTCAAAAGGGGAAGCCTTCAAGCAACAGTCAAGCTATCTCCATGTTACCTAAAGGTCACGGGTTCTAATCGTAGAATCAGCCCCACTAATGCTTGCATCATTGTAGGCTGCTTTTATCATTTTCACTTGGGATGCGGCTCTTTCGTGACCCTGCATAAACACGGAATGCTTTGTACATCGAGTTGTCCAGTCCTGTCCGATGGCTCTAAAGTGATAATTAAAGAAAACTTTTTGCAGTAATATTGGCAATTGGAAGGTCAACAAACTATTTCTATGCTTACTATGCGATAAAGACCTTCACTGGCATGGTCAGTGACAATGGAATTGAGTGCCTTTCCATTGCTTATGCGGTAATTTGTTACTATTATTTAACTTTTCAAAATCATAATGTAATGTAGTACAACAACTTCCTTTTCCTTTTAATTTTCTAATACGGGATTTTCTAGGCAGCTAGCATATCAGAAGAAAAACGTGTTTCTGCAATTGGAGCTGTTGCCGGCATAGGCTCAGCTGCATATCTTTTTGGTACTATGGCTGCTCGCTTCCTCTCCACTGCTCACATCTTTCTGGTAAGTAGCCCCCCGCGGTTTTTTTCCCCTCACCTTTGCAATTTATAGAGTAGCCTTTTCTTTTAACTTTATTTATCCTCTTTCTTTCATTTTGTATAAGGTGTTTAATAAGACACAAAATTAAAGAAAGAAAGATTTTTTAGGTGCCAATTTTATGTTTCCTATCCTCTAGCATGATGTTAAAAGATAAAATGAGAAATTTAAAGTAAAAACTAAAAGTCGCATAATTCTTCTTGAAATAATCAAAGGTGGAGCTAGCCTATTAGGTGCGAGTTTAGCCGAATCCAGTCACTTTTGCTTAAACATCGTATTTGTATTGAGAAATTTATTTAATTGATAGAGATAAGTTTCAAGAGTTTGTATTGTGTAGGAATAGAGATAAGTACAAGAGTTTGTACTGTATAGGGAACTTGGTATTTGTATTTGTATAAATATGTGTAATGAGAAGCTAGACACAAGTTGGCCTATTCTTCAAACTAAATTTTCTCATCTAACTCTTTACTTCATCATGGTATCAAAGCCCCTCGATCAACCATGGATTCTGAAACTATTACTTCCTCCTCAACTCAATCGTCCCTTGGCCTTCCACTTCCTCCCCCAACCGTTTCAAACATCAAAGGATTTGTTCCCATTGAGTTAACCTATTTGAACTACTTAACATGGAAGAAAGTTTTTCTTACTGTGTTAAAGAGTCACAATCTTCTTTCCATTATTGATAGCTCTATTCCATGTCCTTCAGTTGATCATCCTGAATTCAAGCTATGGACTCAGTGTGATACAATTACAATGAGTTGGATTAATGCAACCCTTTCTCCACACGTCCTTGATACTCTTCTCAATTTTTCTTGTGAAACATCCAAGGATGCTTGGGATACTTTGGCATCCTTGTATCTTGACCAAGTGTCCTCCTCGGCTATTCACCTAAAATCTATGTTTCAAAATTTCAAGAAAGGGTCTCTCTCAATGGAAGATTACTTACAACAACTCCACTCTATGGCTTGCTCCCTTAGGGCTATAGGCAAGATCATTACTGAGGATGATCTTGTGACTCAAGTCTTGCAAGGCCTTCCTTCGTTTTATCGTACATTTATGTCTGGCCTCAACGCTAGTGGCAATCTACCTTCCTTTATTTCCTTAAGATCATTGTTGCTTACGGAAGAGGCACATATCAAGAACACCCCTATAGAAGATTTGTGTGCACAAACCACTGCTTTAGTTACTACTACTCAAGGACAACCTAACAGTGGTAATCAATTCAACAGGGGGCAACAACATGGACGTGGTCGTGGTAAAAATGGTAGGCATTCTAATGGAAGAGGACGTGGAAATCCTTCTCGATCGTTTTCTTCTCAATGGCATGCATTTCAACCTCCAAGTCATATTTTTCAACCTTCTGATGGAATTTTGGGTCATTCTCCATTTACTCATAATCCTGCAAAGCAATGTCAAATTTGCTTTCATTATAATCACACTGCATTGGAGTGCAAAAATAGGTTCAATCACTCCTATGTCTCCAATTCTATTCCGAAGTCTGTCGCTGCCATGAGCCATGAAGAAGTTCAACCTACAGTTTGGTATCCTGACTCTGGGGCTTCCGCACATATGACCAGTGATGCTTCACTTCTTTCTTCTTCTTCCCCTTACATTGGCTCAACAAAAGTCATGGTGGGCAACGGTAATCTCCTTCCTATAGTCTCCATTGGTTTTTCTTCTATTCCTACAACATCAAAATCTTTAGTTCTTAATAATGTTCTATATGTTCCTGCTCTCAAAAAGAATCTTCTATCTATTCAGCGTCTTTGTGCGGATAATAATTATTACATATAATTCACTAACTCTACTTTCTTTGTCAAGGATATGACGACCAAGCAAGTCTTACTCCAATGTGATAACGTTGGCTCCCTCTATCCTCTTTTGGTTCAATCACTGCGTACTTCCATCCTCAGTTTGTTTGGAAGCACCTCATCTCCTTCAGTTTGGTATCAACACCTAGGACATCCTGGACAGCGTTCCCTTGGTGCCTCAGCTCATAGGAAACTTATTAGTTGTTCATCATCATTTGCTAATAATTCTTGTAATGTTTGTCATTTGGGCAAACAAAGTCGTTTATCTTTTCCTCTATCAATTAATAAAACAAGTGCTCATTTTCAATTAATTCATTCTGATGTATGGCAAGCAGCAGTGTCATCTAATTCTGGTTTTCATTATTATATTTTTGTTCCTTGATGATTTTACCAAATTTTCTTGGATTTATTTGATGCGACAAAAATCTGAAGCATTAGATAAGTTTAAGGAATTCTACACAATGATTTCTAATGTCTTTCACTCGTCAATTTCTTATTTCCAATCTGATGGTGGAAAAGAATATGACAATGTCCTCTTCAATTCTTTTCTTAAAGAAAAAGGGATTCTTCATCGTGTTTCCTGTCCCTATACATCAGCTCAAAATGGTAGAGCCGAAAGAAAGCATAGGCACATAAATAATGCTATTCGTTGCCTCTTATTTCAAGCCAAAATACCATTCAATTTTTGGGCAGATGCATCCTTACATGTTGTCCATCTTCTTAATCTTACCCCTCTGCCATTTCTAAATTTTTTTTTCGCCTTACGAAAAATTATTTGGTCGTCCTCCTACATTCACTCCGTGTGTTTGGTTGTTTGTGTTACCCATTTGTAGCACATAATCATGTTACTAAGTTTCACCCATGTGCTGTGCCTTGTTTATTTCTTGGTTTATCCCCAATTCATAAAGGATTCAAATGCTTGAATCCATGTACAAATCGGATTAAATCTCTCGGCACGTAACATTTGTAGAATCAGTTTTTCCATATCCTTCTATGTTTTCTACTTCTTCTCAACTTCTCTCAAATGTGTTTGACTTTCGATCTCCTTCTACATTATCATCTTCAACAGATTTTACAACTAATTCCCATATCCTCTATGCTCCTCCAACTCTTTCCCGTGCTGCCCACACAAGTCATAATAATCCTACAACTCTATCTCAAACTACAACAACTATTATCCCCAACAACTCTCTAGTTTCATCTCAAAGTTTGTCCCAAGATCCCGTAAATAGCTCAAACTCCCCAGCTTCATCTCAATCTTCAAGTGATATGCAAATATCACTGTCCTCTCTATCCTTATCTCCATCTAATCTGCCACAAGATTCCAACATTAATTCTACCCCATCACAAGTTCAAAATTCTAGTCATGAGTCCAGCCTGTCTCCTACCTCTTCTTCAGAACCAACAACTTCAATTCTTGCTAATTCTAACCGTCCTTATCACATGATTACACGATCTTTGACTAGCTCTCTTAAGCCTCATATTCTCCCCTCTTTAGCTGCCTCTACAACATCTTCTTTGACAGAACCTCACACATTTGCTCAAGCAATTAAACGCACATACTGGCAGCGTGCAATGAGTGATAGAGTACACAGCCCTTCTTCAAAATCACACATGGACTTTGGTCCCTCCTCCTCCCCAGGCAAATATTGTTGGTAGTAAATGGATATTTCGTATTAAATATAAACTCGATGGCTCTGTGGATAGGTTTAAGGCGCACCTCATTGCTCAAGGTTTTTCACAACAACCAGGGTTGGATTATACTCAAACCTTTGCTCATGTGATCAAGCTTAGTACAATGCGCTTGGTTATTTCCTTGGCATTACAAAATAATTGGTGTATGCATCAACTTGATGTGTCTAATGCCTTTCTACATGGTGAGTTGGATGAAGATGTGTACATGCACCAACCTAAGGGCTTTGAGCACCCGGATTTTTCTCATCACGTGTGCAAGCTTAATCACGCTTTGTATGGCCTCAAACAGTCGCCGAGGGCTTGGTTTAAGCGCCTTGCGACTTACTTACTTGACATTGGGTTTAAACAATCTTTTGCTGACCATAGCATGTTTGTCTTCAAGTCCAATGATGCAATAATGATTCTGCTTATCTACGTGGATGACATAGCTGTATTTGGTTCTTCTAACTCATCGATTAATTCATTTTTTCTATGAGATCTGAAATCTCAATGAAGGACTTAGGTCCTTTACATTATTTTCTTGGAATGGAATTAGTCTCCAATTCTGATGGTATTCTCTTGCTGCAGCGGAAATATATTAATGATATCCTCCTTCGGTTTGATTTGCCTAACTCTAAGCATGTTTCAACTCCATTACATAGCAAACAAGATTGGAATTCAACTTCTTCTTCTCTACTCTCTGATTCATCTATCTATCGACAAATGGTAGGTTGTCTTTAATATCTTGCATTCACCAGACCCGATATTCATTTTGCAGTGAATTTGGCCTCACAATTTCTTCATCAGCCTCGTCAAAGCCATTTACAAGCTGTTAAACGCATTTATCGATACTTGAAAGGGACGAGTCACTTAGGATTACAACTTCATCGCAAATCATCTCCTGTGCTAACCATTTACTCCGACTCAGATTGGGCTGGATGTACTGCTACTAGACGGTCGACAACAGGGTTTTGTATTTTCCTTGGAGACAATTTGATTTTTTGGGCTGCCAAGAAGCAGCCAACTGTAGCTCGATCAAGCATAGAAGCAGAATATCGGGCACTTGCCGTTGCCGCTGCAGAAGCGACATGGTGGCAATATCTTTTGCGTGATCTTGGTGTCTTCCTTGCATCTCCAATTATGGCCAAATGTGACAACATTGGTGCAATCCACCTTGCTCATAATCCAGTATTTCATTCTTAAAACTAAGCATGTTGCACTAGACTATCACTTTATTCGAGAAAAGATGGCTCAAGGAGATCTTTTAGTATCTCATGTGCACACTTCTTGTCAATTAGCTGATTTATTTACAAAGGTTCTTTCATCATCTAGATTTGCTCAATTAGATTTCAATCTTCATGTACGTCCCTTCCCTTCAGATTGAGGGAGGGTGATAGAGATAAGTTTCAAGAGTTTGTATTGTGTAGGGAATAGAGATAAGTACAAGAGTTTGTACTGTATAGGGAACTTGGTATTTGTATTTGTATAAATNAATATTGCGAACCAATAACTAAGACAAGCTATGAGTTTTGTGACAAATTCAGAACTCAATTTCAAATCCCGGCTCCGCCTCTATAAACACGTAATTTTTTTTCTTAGTTTGTATTTTTTTTCTATAATGAAGGTGGCAGCTATTTCTTCAATGGTTGCAGCAATATACATGAGAATATTTCTAGAGGAGACAAGCAACCATTTTCGGAGTGATGATGCTCTAAATCAACCCATATTAGGGGAGAGCAGTGCAGAATGCTCTCAATCTGGAAGTAATGACTCATCAAAAATAGTGCCACAGAGCTTTAAGAAAGTCCTACCACTCAAGGATATTTTTTGCTTGCTCAGGAGCAGGTAAGATATTGTATATTATCATTTGGTTGAATAATTTGACGTCAAATACATGGCTAATTAATTAGACTACTGTTATTTGACATCAAACATGTGGCAACATTTTTGTAGAGTTCGAGCAAATTAGAGTATAACCCCGTGAAAGCAAATATTAATTACAAGTTCTAATCATCATCCTTTTAATTTTTGTGGCAGCGTAACTCTTTCGCTAGCAACAGTCATTGCTTTCTTGAACGGTCTTGGGGAGGGTGGACAACAAACTCCATTTTTGGTACACATTCTATAGCTCCCTGAAGTGTCATTGCACATAAAATGATGATCTCATAACTTTTGAAGTTTTATTTTTCCACTGTATATCTTGTAGTATTTCTTAAAGGCTCGACTTCAATACAACAAAGATAACTTTGCTGTTTTAATCCTTATTGGCTACAGTGGAGCAGCAATTGGCCAGGTTCGTTTTCAAGTATATAAGTTGTCTTTACATAGTACATAACACAATTATTATAGCTGGGAGAAGTGGTACATTGAGTGGCGGAGCCACCTTATCCCAAGGGGTGTCAGCTCATACCCTTCCAGAAACTTACACTGTGTATAGTAGCTCGATAATATTTTTTATTATGACTTTTCTTGACTTCTTCATGTGTTTACTTCTTTATATTTTAACACTCCTTAATGAAAATTTGGCTCCGCCAGTACATTTTGCCCCACATGTCTCTACTAACATTATGGGTTGTGTGAAATCTCTAAGATATTTTTGGACTTACTTTCACATATTTTCACTAAATTTTATTATTCACTATAACAATAAAGTCATAAAACTACTTTTTGACATCTTAAAGTAACAGAACTTTACTGAATATAACTGTAAAGTGATCACTAAATATTTTTGTGTAATATTAAATGAAAGGAGCTTTACCTACTATAAAAGTAACATAACTTTATCCAATATAATTTTAAGTCACCACAAGTAATAGGTCTTGTTGTTATAGTGGATAATTTAGTGACTTACTATTCTAAATATGGGTAGAGTTTAGTTACTTTAAAATGACAAAAATAGTTGTTGTGAGAAAAGCTTAGTGGATTTACCGTTATAATGGAAAAAAATTAGTTATTTCTTTAATGTGACAAATAAAGTTTTGTAATTTGCTATTATAGTGGATAAAGTTCAGTGCAAATTAACCCTTATTTTCCAAATATTGTGTGTTACCTCTTGTTAAATTTTGATGCAGTTATTCTTGATGCCTCGGTTGGCTCCGATTATCGGAGAGGAGGCAATTCTCTCCTTAGCCCTCATTGCTGGATTCATAAACGTATGTGCTTCTTGGAATTTATCTAATTTCAATTACATCTGTGTAACGCGTGCGCACTAATAATAATGTATTGAGTTAGTTTTTATTGTTCTACAGATGCTAATTGATAGCATTGCATGGGCAGTCTGGGTAAGCTCGAGCTTCTGAACGGACAAACACATTGTTTGATTTCTGTTTAGTACATTTCAAATGTCAAGACATTTATGTTTTTATTTTCCCACATTTCATGGTCTCAGGTTCCTTATGTTGCTAATTTGTTGCCTATCATTGCCTTCCTAACCAGACCGGCTGTGAGTTTTCGTTGTTACTTCCAGAAAGTGAAACGCTTATTATAAGTTGTATTGATTATTAGATCTGACAAAGTGTTTATAAATTGTAGTTACAAAGCATTGTTTCAAAACAAGTTGGGCCAAATGAACAGGTGAACTTTTGATATTTCTAATAACAATGCATTTATTATGATCGTTTACCTTAGAAGGGGAGTCTTGGCACAACGGTATAGTTGAACTTTTGATACTTCAAGCCGTGGAATTAGCCATTTATGCTTGCATCAGGTTAGATTGTTTACATCACACACTCTTGGGGTACGGCCCTTTCCCATGAACGCAGGATATTTTGTGCATCGGATTGTCGTTTTCGTTTACCTTAATTTTCACTTGTGTGTTGGATCAGTATTTTCTAAAGAGTGCCATCTATCACTGTTGACATAACAGGGAATTGCTCAAGGGTGCATTGCAGGCATAAGCTCATTCGGAAATATTCTTTCTCCATTAATATATACTCCTCTAACAAGTAAGTTGAAACTTTAAATATCAAAGTTTTGTATCTTAATTATTATCAAATAAACCTGCATCTCTTTTAACAAGCTAGAACAAGTCATACAAGGAGCAGGTTATGTGACATAAACAGAAATTAATCTATTTACTTGTGAGTTGTGACCCCTTTAAATTTTGTGTGCCGCAATCAGCTGTATTACTAATCACACTGAATCTGTTGTATTTGCAGTTTGGCTGATGTCAAATTAATTAACTGTATTTTCTTTCCCTGTAGATTTATTTTTATCAGAGAGGGCTCCCTTCAATTATCCGGGATTCAACTTGTTCTGCGTCGGCCTTGCTTGGGTAAGCACTATACTAAAGAATATGATATACAGACGAAATTAAAAAGTTACTATCTTTGGAATAACATACATGATATATCTACCTTCTTCTTTTTCTTTTTTCTGTTCCTTTTCGTTTTCCTAGAAGTAATTGCGCAACCTTAATAATTATTTTCCATTTATATCTTGTGCAGTTGATAGCTTTTATCCCTAGTATGATGATACAGTTTGGTCCCCATAATTCAAGACTCAAAAACAGAGACGGTGGCTGCAGCTCGGATGCTTAAATTTTGAGGTTCGAATTTGTTTTGACTGATTAGTATGTCTATGTAGTAGGTTAGGTAGTCATAGATTGTTTATATCGACAGTCTGATGATATTAGGTTTCTATGACTACCTGTCGTTTCTTGCAATTTGGTCATCTTACTATCTTGTTATTTATGCCGCTTTTACAGGTCTTATCGGTGTTGTTCCTTCTTGTTTTTCTTTTCATGTGGTGCTTATGCTTTCCCGAGTCGAGGGTCTCTTGGAAATAACTTCTCTATCTCCACAAGGTTCGGGTAAGATCTGCGTACAAACTACCCTCTCCAAACCCCACTATGTGGGATTATATGTCTATGTATCTATTAGGAGGATTTTCATTCACTCAAATAAAGATCTCAGTTTTCTAAATAATGAAATATCACTGGTGTCTGGTGGTTATTTATTTATCTGGTTCGGAATTACACCATCTACTGTAATGCTCATTAACACATCTATTGTGGACAAAGTCTTTGTTTATTATAAACGATTATAGTCGCGATCCCATAGATCACAATCACACAATTCACACATTAACTTTATTCATAGCCCCTGGTCCCTGCGTCGCAAAGGGATTCAACAAAACAGACCATAAAATTACATAGTATCGACTAAAAGTCCGTTTCCAAAAGACCTCTGGTTTCCGCAATCAAGATTGTCACCAGGACTAACACCAAGAATACTGCAATACCTCCTGTAAAACCCAATGCGATCCTGGACCCTTGAGTCAGTGCCACGACCACATTCCAAGCCACCATTGATGATGTTCGTGATGACACCAAATCCAGGGAGACGATTGGCTGCGCGGTCAGCAGACGATGGTTGCCATCTTCCAATGATGACATCGTGGCAAGAAGGTTTTGGTGATTGAGGAGTCATCCAAAACCAGAGAGCTGACTTGAATGAGATTACTGGATCTGTGGCCACTAAATCAGGATTGTTTAGGAGGTCCACTCCTATGGCTCTTCCACAAGGTCCGTAGTTGTAGTTGCTGTATTTATGTAAAAAGTACACGTAATTAGCAGGTGCAGAGCTAGAGATTGAATTGTGAAGCTAATAACTAAGATGAGTTATGATTTCGATGGCAAGTTCTGAACCATTTTAGCTATTTTAGCGTAGGGCAATGACTATATGCTAAAATTATGGTAAGAGGGAGTTGCTTACTGTGAAATTTGGATGGGGCCTCGTCCGAAATATTTCCGACCAGGAGCACAAGGCCACTGACCACTTGGTGTACAGTAGTCGCCGGGGCTACCTTGTTCTCTAAGCCAGCAGTAACCCCACGCGTATGGACCATCTGGTGCTGTTGCCCATCCTCCTGTCAACAGTTACATGTTCAATTATTGAATGCATCAACTTATGAAAAACTTCGAAATTTAAGAAGCATTGTGATATCTCAAAATTAGATACTATGGTGATGAGCGATAGAGGTCCTGAATTCAAGTCTCCGCGCCAGGAATCATAAAAGAAATTACTATGTGTTTGTCTCATGAAATTAGAATTGACCAGTATAATTAAATAAAAATATGCTCTCTAATAGATTAAACTTTTGAACTAGACGGTCATACAGTTCAACATAACTAGGCATACCTGTAGTTTCATGGGAGGTTTGGGCGAAGAAAGCCGCGATTTCTCTTTTACGGGCAGTGGTATCACCACTAGTACCAAAGCCAGGAAAAGACCTAGCAGCATTGATAAAGGCATTGTAACTGTAGAATCCCTTTCCTTGGCATGCATTATCGTTGCGATGCTTAAGCATCTGATCAAACATGGAACTTGAGATGATACTGCCGAGATCCCCACCACCGGGTGGTGTGGGACCACCAGGGCACTGGCTCTGGCAATTGCCAGGGCCACAATAGTCATTGGTGTTACCACACCAACCAAATTTGCTGCAGCAGAGACCCGAGGCACAACGCGCACCTCCCGCCTGCGAACCACATTGTTCTGCCGAGGCAGAGAGGAGTAGGAGAGAAAAGAGTAGAGAAGAAAGAGCTGTGAATTCTCTAAGCCTCATTTTTGATGTAGTAGTAAAGTGGCGAAGTGCAAGGTATTTATTGGTAAGGAAGATGATGGAGACATGGCTTAATGTCTACTCCTTCGCTCATTTTTTTATTGTCACTTTATATTCCTTTAACAAAAATGAAGTAGTAATTTTATAATTTTATCCATAATGTAGTATTTTCAAAAAATTTAGGAAATGATTTGGCGAATGATTCAATATATTCCCTCAGTTTCATATTAGATTAATACGAGTTAGTTTGACTCGACACGGAGTTTAAGAAAAAAAAAGACTTTTGAAATTTGTGGTCTTAAAAGATTAAGGGGTAAAAAGTTTGTGGGGCCATGACATTTGTGTGGCTATAAAAGCTTTTCATTAAGGGTAAATATAAAATAAAAGAGTTTAAAGTTGAATTATTTTCAAATTAAAAAATATGTCGGTATCTTATTTAATATGAAACGGAGGGAGTAACGAACAAGTAAAAATAAAAATAAAAAAATATTTTTAGTACAGTAAACCAAGAGAGTATTTTAGTTGTTGAGGGACTGACTTTCTGACCAAATCAAATGTTGAATAACCAAAGCACGCAATCTCAGAGTCCTGTCTTACTTATCAAGAAAATTAATTCAGTACATTACGCTGACAGGTTACATATATTAAATGGCGGCTCTTAGATTTTTATTTAACTTTTTATATTTTTCTTAGTGGACTGGCGGCTTTTAGCTTCATCCCAGAATTTTTTCGGGAGAAATTCAAAAATAGCAAGATTTATAATTGATAGTTTAAAATTAGCCCAATTTTAAAAATAATCGAAATTTAGTCACTTTTTATGTAAAGATAAATTTGAGCAAAAACACTGTTCAAAACTTGAAAAATACGTCAGTATATTATACTGGAGTTCCAGCATAAGTATGTTTGAACTCCAGCATATTATACTGGAGTTCCAAGATAAGTATGCTGGAACTCCAGCATAATATGATGGAGTTCCAGCATAAGTACACTAGAACTCCAGCATAATATACTGGAGTTCCAGCAAGTATAATTGTCCAGTATAATATACTGGAGTTTGGAGCACCGGTGCTCCAGTCTCCAGTATATTATACTGGAGTCAGCAAAGTATACCGGTCCAGCATAATATGCTGGAGCTCATACACAGGTGCACCGAACTCCAGTATATTATGTTGGACCGGTCTCTGTTGCAGCAAAATAGTGGTTATTTTTCATTGACTTCGTAAACGCCGGCTATTTTTGAATGACCAATCCGAAAACTGGCTATACCGTGCTATTTTTACGACTTTTCTCGACATGTATTTTACAATACTTGGACCGGAGACTTGGGGCTCGTTTGGACATAAGAAATTTTTTCCCTTTTTTCAAAAAAAATTTCATTTTTTTCGAAATCAACGTTTGTTCATAAAATTTTCAATTTTCATTTGAAGATGTATTTTGGAATTTTTTGAAATTTTGAAAAACTCCAAAAAGCTATTTTTCAAAATTTTCATTCAGATTACTCACAAAACTTCAAAAACAACCCAAAATCATATTCATATCCAAACACAACTCTAATTTTCAAATATCATTTTCACTTGAAAATAGTTTTCACTATTTTTTTGGAATTTTACAATTTTTATATCCAAGCGCCCACTTAGTTAGTGTTTGGATATAAATTTAGTTAGAACTTGAAAAAAAGTTTTTAAATTATGTTGAAAAATAGTTTTTGGAATTTGAATTTATGTTTGAACATGCATTTTACTTGGAAAAAAATTGAAGTTTTGTGAGTGGAAGAAAAAACTTCACCCAAAAACTGGCCCAAGCTAGTTTTTAGAACTTCAAAACAAATTTCATGAAAAAATAAATGTTTTTAATTTTATTTTAAAAATAGCGAAAATCTATGTACAAATGAGAGCTTAATGCCTAGTTTTTTGGTTTTGGCAAAAAAGCACAGTCGAGTTACGCCAGGTGTTTCTTGGGTTAGTTAAGTGCGTCTTCTGAAAGTATCAATCTAACATGGATATAATATAATATTTCCACTGATAATGTTTCCTATGCACTAAAAAGATAGCTGAATTTAATTAGAATGTGATGATTAAATTTGGACTGTGATTTTGAAAAAAATTCAAATAAATTTACATATTCGATAAAAACTACACAATTTAGTATAGGAGTAATTTTCATAATTAAAAATTAAAAATATGTAGAAATGTAGAGTCCGAAACCTAAATGCCAACATTTTGGACTCAAAATACGTTTTTATTGCCCAAAAAAAAGATACTTTTCTACATATAACTCGGTATTATAGCACATTGTACTGTAACGGTATTTGTACTGTTAAGGTATAGCGCGGTGTAATACCGCGTTATAAATAGCGCGAAGTAATACCGCATTATATATAGCGCGGAGTAATACCACGTTATATATAGCGCGGTGTAATATTGCGCTATACATTCTAACTAAAAACCCCTTCTTTTTGCCCAACGACAGAAACAGGCCCCTTCCCCCATTTTTTGAAAAACAG